TCCAAACAAAAATAAATTATACACATTTATGCTTTTTCTGTTACGTACCGTAATCTTCATTATCATAAATTCAATGAACTAACGATGTATTTTAATAATGAAAAAAAATAATGTGGAAGGCACTTTGGCATTTCATTTTGTTCGTCATGTAATTGAGAAATGCATCGCATGACGATTTAATGTTCAATTTACTGTTAATGTCATTAATGTCACTAAGTGTACATCATAGTTGCATTTCTAGTTATACTAACTCAAAACGAGTTGATAATGATACATAGTCTATAGTCAGTTAGACAACATCCACTTTTATCTACTCGTCTGAGGAAAAATCCAAAGAAATGGCCATCTATTATATAAACTATTAATTCATATTCATGAATAATAATAATTAATATTCATGACTATTCATCTATGTGTTTTAATACAAAAAAATTACATAGTTGTGGTTTCTTCAAATGACATTGTTAAATTAGATACTGCACATACAATTTTATCTATTTTGAATATTGTTCATGTTAGAATGAATACCAGTTACATGTAAAGTCAAAGGGGAATTTATGTAAGAAAATACTTATCACTATTTTTCTGTGATTGTGAAAAAATGACATGCATGAGTATTGTGCAACTTGCCATAAAATATATCAACTCATAGTTTTTGGATAACTGATGACAAAGTAACTTTAGAAACAAAACCAACAGTCTGCCAACAGTCTGCATAGCCTACAATGGTTTGTATTTTTGTCAAATATAATCAAAGCAGATATCTAATCAATTATTGAATTATCAGAGAGCAAACACAGATAAATAAATGAAAGCCATGACACTACTTCATGAGTGGTTCAAACTAACATGCTAAATTTGGATTCAATTGGAAAACTAATAAAGAGTGCATCAGGGGAGAATTTATTCAATATTATTTTTGCACATTTTTAGCCACATGAGAATTCACATAAATATTGCTATACAAATGTTATCCTAGGGTATGTCACATAATGGAATACAAAATGCAATAAATGGTGTTGTAATGTCATATGCTAATATTTATTGTCAATTGATTCCAGACTTGAGTGTACGTATCTTAATAGTATGAAATATGAAGACTGTTTTACATTCAATTTATTCTGAACCTCTCCTCAATACAGATCTTATCATTAATTTAGGCATAGACCACATTTAGAACAAGAATTGCAAAATCTGCCTGTTGCAGAAGAGCACCGTGGTCATGGAACGATTAAACTAACAAATATCACACCATAGCATGGAAGCCTGCAATTACTTTATGCTTAGTGGTGATAACAAAACAAGGTTTATGTTTGAAATTAGCCTATACATGTACCGGTAGTACAATATTGTTAATTTGATTATGTTTGAATTTGCTAGTGTGAAGAATGTATGCTTCATAGAAATTTCATTAAAATTGCAATCTATATTTCGAGTAAGTTTGAAAATGAGAACTAGTGTTGGTGGAAATTACAGATTTTTTTTAATTATTTTTATAGTTCCGCACAAAATAATGGCAATATTGAATATAATTTGTTAAATAATGATAGTTTAAAAAACAATCATTAGCATCGTTCAAAATATTTTGATAAGAAAAAAACCTTGCACAAACATAGGATGTTCTACCATGATGTGTGTGAGTAAGACTGATTAGTAAGACTGATCAAAAAAACTTTCAATTGAAATTTATCATCTTTGTATTGCTATTTAAACATCTTTTTTAAATAGTCAAATTTATATAAAATTAATCCTTCTTAAAATAATATATTTCATATATCTTAATTAAAGAGAGACTGCACTGAATTGAGGAAATTATCATTGAACTCCTGTTCTGAAAACCTAACCACAGATTTGCGGGCATTCTTCCTCATCTCCATTCTTTGCTGGGCTGGCATCTTTAGAATGGTTTCCATGGCATTGGCATAAGACTCTTCATCATTTGCAAGGAAACCAGTAGGTTTGTCATTGTAGTTTACCAC